CTGGGTGATGAAATAATCTGTACAACAAACCTCCATGACACAAGTTTACCTATGTAACAAACCTGCACATGTACCCCTGAACTTAAAAAATATTTTAAAAATTAAAAAAAGAAATCAGTAATCAAAAAACAAAATAATTTATTGCTGGTATGATTCCATCCTGCACAGCTGTTCTCTGGAGTGTGGTCGTTTACCTCTGTCTGGCTTCTCTCCTACCTAAGTGCTTGCTGCCACCCATGGAAGATTTGATGGACATGGACATCAGACTCCTGAGGCTCCAGAACTATCTTTTTGGTTGTGAACTAAAGGTCAACAAAGATTATCACTTTAAGGTGGATAATGATGAAAATGAGCACAAGTTATCTTTAAGAATGGTCAGTTTAGGGGCTGGTAGAAAGGATGGATTGTATATCATTGAAGCAGAAGTAACGAACTATGAAGGCAGTCCAATTAAAGTAATACTAGCAACTTTAAAAATTATGTACAGTCAATGGTTTATCTTGGGGGCCTTGAAACAACATCTCCTGTGGCCTTAACACTCAGTGCGTTTCAGGGCCTGGGCATATGAGTACACAGCACTTACTAGGTTTGAAGGAAGACGCAAAGCAGGAGATGAAGAGGAGGGAGATGTGAGACTCTTTAGTATATCTGGAAAGTGATCTGCCCCTGGAAGTGGGTGCATTTCCACAAGAAAAAAAGAAAACTTCTTGCTGATGAAAATCACGATGATGATGATGAAAAGGAAGAAGATTTTGATAAGGGGAAAGCTGAAGAAAAAGCTCTAGTGATCTATACAGGATACTCCATCCAAAAAATGCACAAAAATAAAACCAAAATAAAAAAGACTCAGAACTATCAAGATTAAGAATCCTTCAAAAACAGGGGGGAAAAACCTCTTAAAACACCAAAAGGACCTAGTTTTGTGGAAGACATTAAAAGCAAAAATGCAAGCAAGTATAGAAAAAGTTGGTTCTCTTCCCAAAGCTAAGTACATCAATTATGTGAATAATTCCTTCTGGATGACTGACTAGGAAGCTATTCACGATCTCTGGAAGTGGAAGAAGTCTCTTTAAGAAAATAGTTTAGGCCAGGTGCGGTGGCTCATGCCTGTAACCCTAGCACTTTGGGAGGCCAAGGTGGGCGGATTACTTGAGGTCAGGAGTTCAAAACCAGCCTGGCTAACATGGTGAAACCTCATCTCTCCAAAAATAAATAAATAAATAACAATACAAAAAATTAGCCAGGCAAAGTGGTGGATGCCTATAATCCCAGCTACTCGGGAGGCTGAGACAGGAGAATCGCTTGGACCTGGGAGGTGGAGGTTGCAGTGAGCAGAGATTGCACCATTGCGTTCCAGCCTGGGCAACAGAGTGAGACTCTGTCTCAAAAAAAAATAAATAAATAAATAAATATAATAGTTTAAACAGTTTGTTAAAATTTTCTCTTTTTTTTCTTTCAAAAAATTCTTTTAAACAAATAGTTCTTATAGAGACAAAAATTATCTGTCATTTCATTTCTATAAGTTGATATCTGACTGTCCTTTTTATAATTCAGAGTGAGAAGTTCCCTACCGTGTTGGATAAATATTGTCCAGGTTCCATCGGCAAAAATGTGTTGTCCAAAATGCCCCTTTAGTTTTTAAAGATGAAACTCCATCCTTTGTTTTTTTTTTTTTTTTTGAGAGAGTCACACTCTGTCACTCAGACTGGAGGGCAGTGGCACTATCTTGGGCTCACTGCAGCCTCTGGCTCCCGGGCTCAAGCGATTCTCCTGCTTCAGCCTCCCAAGTAGCTGGGATTACAGGCATGCACCACCACACCCAGGTAATTTTTGTATTTTTAGTAGAGATGGGGTTTCACCATGTTGGTCAGGCAGGTATCAAACTCCTGGCCTCAAGTGATCTGCCCACCTCAGCCTCCCAAAGTGCTGGGATTACAGGTGTGAGCCACCGTGCCTGGCTCTTTGATTGGTTTTCAGTATATATGTATGTATGGAATATTATGGTAGGACATAGTAGTAGCTGTGGTCAGACAAATGGAAATCATGGGAAAACAAAAATATACAAGTGAAATAAGCTCAATATTTTAATAAAGGAAAAAATAAATTTTTTCCCTTGAAAAAGTTGTAAGAAAAAAACAAATCTTCTCGTATGCATCTTAGGAGTGCTTTAAACTTAGATGTTTCCAGATGAGTCGTGTTTAGATAGGTGGAAATGGAGGAAAAGGTGTGGCATGCCCATGGATATCTAGTATGCTTATATGCATAGTACAGTATTAAAAAAGTGAGTTGCTTCTCTGTAAAAACATATTACTTTACTATTAGAAACCATTGGAGAGCAATCATGCCCTGCTTATATTAAACATCTTTGCTAGATTATTTGATTTTTTGAGATGGGGTCTTGCTTTGTTGCCCAGGCTGGAGCACATGGCGCACTCACTGCAGCCTCAGACTCCTGGGCTCAAGGGGTCCTCCCATCTTAGCCTTCTGAGTAGCTGGGACTATAGGCATGCACCACCATGCCCAGCTATGTTTGCTAAATTTTTAAGTGAGATACATTCAACTTCATAAAAATTAGAGCTAACATTTATTGAGCACTCTGTTTATACTGCCTCCCAAGTATAACATGGTAATTAAAACACTGGAGCCCAGGCACGATGGCTCACCCCTGTAATCCCAGCACTTTGGGAGGCCCAAGTGGGCAGATTACTTGATCTCAGGACTTGGAGACCAGCTTGGCCAACATGGGAAAAACCCGTCTCTACTAAAAATACAAAAATTAGTTGGGTGTGGTGGTGCACGCCTGCAGTCCTAGCTACTCAGGAGGGCGGGGCACAAGAATCACTTGAACCCGAGAGGTGGAGGTTGCAGTAAGCTGAGATTGCACCACTGCTCTCCAACCCAGGCGACAAAGCAAGACTCCATCTCAAAAAAACCCCGAAACTAAAAAAAAAAACCCCAAAAACATTGGAAAGTGCTGCGAGGTATAATTCAGTTTAGCAACTAAGAATCCAAGACAAATCCCAGCACTTTGGGAGGCCGAGGCGGGCGGATCACGAGGTCAGGAGATCGAGACCATCCCGGCTAACACGGTGAAACCCCGTCTCTATTAAAAATACAAAAGAAATTAGCCGGGCGTGGTAGCGGGCGCCTGTAGTCCCAGCTACTCCGGAGGCTGAGGCAGGAGAATGGCGTGAACACGGGAGGTGGAGCTTGCAGTGAGTAGAGATCGTGCCACTGCGCTCCAGCCTGGGCAACAGACCGAGATTCCGTCTCAAACAAAAAACAAAACAATACAAAACAAAAAAAAATCCAAGACAAAAAGTCTGCTTCAGGACCACACACAAGCACGAAGAAATCAAGATAGTTCAAGCATAGACCTAAGAAGAAAAAAATTGCCTTTAGGCTCATTTTGTGATGGCAGATAAAAGCCTCTGGAATTCTGACAAGTTTGTGAAGCCATGTTACAGAACTGGTTATTGTAATTGCGTGAACTTCATCCAAAACTGGTGAAAGCATCAGGCTGGGGATAGTCTGGTGGTTGTTACTTTCTGTCCGACCTAATACTGAGGCTCTAAGAAATTCTGTGGTGAATTTCTGTAGGGGGACACAGCAGAAAAGGTGTAACATAGGTCAGAAAACCTGGGTCCTATAATATATAGTAATAATGACGACCATTTACTGGTTGTTTCCTAGGTACCAGGCATTGTGCTAACCGCATGCTTCATTTAATCCTTACAATACCTCTGTAAGGTATTTATTATTGCCACCACTTTGCAGGTGAATAGGCTGAAGTTCAGAGGTGTAAGGTCACACAACTAGTAAGCAGGAGAGCCTGGATTCAACACCTGGTGTCTATTCCCTTGTGCTAAACAACACCGTGCCCTCTGATTCTTCACTTTCCTCATCTGTAGATCTAAAAGGATTAAATTAGAAAATCTCAAAATTTCTACTGCTTCTAAAACTGTGTTCTAAATTACCACATTACTATCTATCTTCCAAAGCTAATGAAATATGCAGGGTTCCGGGGAGCTTGATACCTATTTTTCTCCAAAGGACATGATTTCCCCTGTCTACGCCTCTGTCCTAAAACCTTCTTTGGTTTCCCACTATCTAACATGGTTTCAACTATTTATGAGGCACTTTCGTGGCAAGGAGTGATTCTTCCCAGTGGACAATCCTAAGAACCAGCGCAGTGCTTGGCGCACAATAAATGCTCCATAGACCATTTATGAAATTAAGTCTAAGTGGACTTCAAGGAAAATGTGAATCTGCTGAAATGAACTACTAGCCAGGATATTAGGTAGAAAACCAGGCTGACGAAGAAAACCCCAAGTGGAGAAGCCCTTTTAGGGGGCTGGAGACAATTTCTGACCCGCAGAAACCTGAAGTGGAGTGCCGTTAGGCATGGTGGCGGTGACGTTTACAGGTGGCGGACAAAACGCCGCCTGCGACACTGGAAGAAGCGGAAAACCCCACCCATCCTGGAACAACCGCAACCAGCCCCAACGCTGGGGTCCCCTTGCCGCCCTATAGCCTCCTAGTCCCGCCCCTCTCCCAAGACCCGAGGGAGGCAGCGGCTGCGGCTGCGCAATGGCGCGCGCGTAGGCGGAGCGGCGCGCGCGCGGTCAGCTGACTGCTGGGCTGGCACGTGACTTGTTCTGTGGGCGCTGGGGTAGAGGAAGCCTTGAGGCCGGAGCTTAGGTCGGGAGGGGATGGAGCGCTGAGCCGATAGCGTCCGCCAGGCCGCCCGCCTCCGTACCTGTTACTGCTGTCACTTCCTCGTTTGACACCTTCCTGGGTCAGTGAGCGATGGCTCTCCCCGGATGGGGAGTCCTGGTCAGGCCGAAGCTTGCGCTGCGGTCGCCGTCTGGGAAGGACGGGGTGGGTGCGGGGGCAGAGACCGTGGCGTTGGAGCTGGAGCTGGCTGGGTGGCTGTGTCTGCTTTCTCGGCGCCAATTCACCGTCTGGGGCCTAGGTTCCGTCTCTAAGGAAGAGAAGGAGGGAAAAAGAGAAAGCTCTCGTGGGTAGTTAATGACAGCCTGAAAGGAGAGAGAGAGCGATTTGGCACCTTTCTTCTTGGGTAGGAATGCACGCCGCCTGATTGAGGGGGATGAAGTGACAGAGAGGTCCAGGTGAGGCTATGGAGTGGTGTGTGTGAGGTCACAGCTAGCTCAAGTGCCTTCACTGGGTGTGTGTGGGGGGGAGTTCGCGGGTGTCAGGGGGTCGGGGGTGGTGGATGACAGTTTAAAGGCCTAGTAGCCCCTCACTGCAGGCAGGGAGCCCTCACAGAGTACACAAGGTCCCTCTAGGAATGGGAAAGAAGAGGAATCCAGAGAACCCAACTATTTTTTGGTAGAATGGGGGAGGGTAGGCAAAAAACCAAAACAAAAACCTAGAAGAGAACTTGGTGAGAGTCACGTAAGGCATATTGAATCACTTGAGAAACAGGAGTGTGGGGGAAGCTAGTACCCTTTTCAGAGGAAAATTCTGATATGTTAGGGAAAAATCACATGCTTCAGTGAGAGCCCAGTACTTAGCACCGCTCTGGGAATGGAGCGGTGGGATGTAAACAGTCTATCCTTAGGAGTTCGCACTAATGTTGGAGAGAAAAGTCACACACAGGACACGTTAAAATACGATGCAGTTTATATATAATTACCAAAAAGAGAATGCGAAGTGCTTAGAAAGTGTGGAGCAACGACACGTGTAAACTGGCACTATGGGAAAATATTCTGGAGGAAAGAAAACTTGAGTCTTGGCAAGCCCTTAGGATTTGAACAGGTTGAGAGAAATGGGAGTAATTTTACAGACGGGGAAAGCCACAGTATTTGAAAGCCTGAAGATTGGGATAGGGAATGCTTCTTGGGGAGTCAGAAGTCTAGCTTTTGTAGTGGATTGCACTGTGGAGAAGTGGGAAAGAAAGTTGGGAGTCAGGTAACGAGGACTTTTGAATGGTAGTCATTTACTTATTCATGCAAATAATGTGTATTGAATACATGCTATATGCAGGTACAGTGCTGATGGTAGGGTTTAGAAAATTGTCTTTATAGAGCTTACAGGCAAGCATAGGGGATGGATTTTAAAAATCAAGCGTGAAATGTGCTTTGAAGGAATAACAGTGGTATGAAAGAGTGTACTAGGGGCATGTGTATTATGGAAGATTTAAAAAAGGCATTGCTAAGAATATGACTTTTTAAAAATTAAAACAATTTTGTTTATTTTCTTCATACCCTCTCCCTCTGAGAGGGTATGACTTTTGACCTGAGATCTGAAAAGAGACTGAAAAAGGAATGTGAAGGTGTGAATGAAAAGAACATTCCAGGCCTGTCAGAGTGGCTTATGATTGTAATCCCAACATTTTGGGAGGCTGAGGTGGGAGGATTGCTTGAGGCCAGGAGTTCAGGACCAGCCTGGGCAACATAGTGAGACCCCCGTCTCTACAAAAAATAAAAAAATAACTAGCTGGGAGTGGTGCGTGCCTGTAGTCCTAGCTGCTAGGAAGGCTGAGGCGAGAGGATCATTTGAGCCCAGTAGTTCGAGGCTGCAGTGAGCTATGATCATGCCACTGCACTCCCTCCTGGGAAACAGAGCTAGACCCCTGTCTGTGAAAAACGAAAAAGGAACGTTTCAGGCTGCAGCAACAGCGTATGTCAAGGCCCTGAAATGTGAAGAGGAAAAAAGCTTTTCAGCGTTTTTGAAAGGCTAGCGTGGCTGACACGGGGAGGGAGAGAGGCAGGTGGAGAAAGCTGGGGTCAGGCCAAGCAGAGCTTTTATTCTAAAAACAGAGGGAAGCCTGTAAAGATTACAGGCAGTGGATTGAGACAGGTTGTGGCTTTTTTTTTGGGAATAATGGAGGGTGGCAAAAGTGAATGAGGGGAGACCCGCTCAGGGAAACATTGTTGTAATCCACTGAAGGATTTGAAGGCAGGATACCTTCTCTCTCCACTGAGGACTTAAGGAGAACGTTTAACTGTACTCACTTTTAGAGGGTTCAGGAGTTGGGGAAGGGAAAGAATGATTAGATTCTATCTACACCCTTCTCAGGGTAGTTGTAACTACCCTCGAGGCAGTCCTGAAGTACATATCGGAGGCTCTTTTGCAAAAATTTGTTTTGGCTTTTCAAATTTATCCTTTTGTAAGGTCGTCTATTTCAGAATATCTTTTATTGAAATATGTTAGTTACAGGGAGGGATCACTTTCATGTCTATTTTATTCTCACAGTTCTTTGAAAGACAGTGAATGAAAATGCTATTCTTTATATAGATGGCAACCTGGAACTAGAAACAGGTAAAGTGATTTGGCTGAGTCCGGAGTAACTGCCACAGTTTCTGACTGCTGATGTATTCCTGCTGATTACCTACACAGTACTAAAACCACGGTCACATCTAGAGAAAAGGGCGAGTTTTTTGAAGTGCACAATAGTCTTTGATTCAGCATTTTTTTTTTTTTTGGCGAAATTCTCCCTGAAGATTGAGCACTTTTGATGAACTTTTTCTGGTAGAACAGCTTCAAAGGAATTGGCAGTGGTGGGCTGTGTCTTATCTGTAATCTTGGGTAGAGCTGTTCAATTTACAGTTCATCTGGAGGAGACAATGAACAACAAGGTGAACTGAAAGTGCTCCGGTTGTCAATCACAGTTCTTTGGCAACAAGTGAGTCTCAAATTACGCTGAAGAGTGAGTCTCAGGGTTCTGTCTCAGAAGTCCTGGATCTTTTTCTCTTTTGGTATACCTTGCAGGGACTAGATAAAATCTAAAGAAACAGTACTCAGGATCTAACTAAATGTTGAGAGCTAGATAGTGTAATTCAGCTTTTAAAACTTGGCACAAAATACTCATTTTTATTTTTTTGGTATATTGGTCTTAGGAGCCTCATGTACATTAGTTTTTGCAACTTAAAAAGAAACTTTAGGGCTTCAAAAATCTGATTTTGTGATTATTTCCACAACTCGTGAGATAATACCATTGGCCAACTGGAATGCCAAAGTAAACCTTTGCCAAAGGTCTCCATGTAGTTCACCCATCCCTAAGCAGTAAGTTTTCTTTTGAACTTGATTCTGCTTAGGAGTACTACAGTTTTGACTGAGTACCTCCTACTTACAATTTTGCTCTTGGACATATTTAAATCTATCTACAGGTTACACCTTTTTCACTCTTTGGATGTGCAATTATATATCATTTTATTTATAAATTAATTCATGTTAGATTTCCATTTTTCATCAATTTTTTAAGACAGAGTATAAACATTAGCATAGTGCCCTTGGGAAGCTTAGGCAATAAACCAAGGCAATCTAAAATTTCCTATTGACGTGAGTGATTCTTGGAACTAGAAATTTCAAACTATATTCTTGATGCTGAAACAGAATTTTTTTCCAGCGGTACATCTACTTCTAACATTATACCATATGCAAATGTGCTATGCATTTATTGAGTTAAAAAAATGAGCCAGGTAGGCAGTGGAGGAGAGGTGCTTTGGTTATATCAGGGGATGAAAGTATTAACTGTATATCTAAAATGTGGGGGTTGTGTGTGTGTCTGTGTGAGTATGTGTGTGTATTTGAAAATGCTAGGTAAGTGATGTTTTATAGAAAGGGATCAATGTATCTTCTAAGGTACTTTAAGCAGACTATCAAGGAATAAGAAGTTATAAATTAAGGCATGTTAACAGGTGGTTTAACTTTACCATGAAAGGTTTTCCTTTTGAATCAGCCCATAGTTTAGTGTTTCTGTGTGGGTGCTATTGGCAGTTTGGAGGTCTGTTTCGCCCCTCCCACTAAATGCTGATTAACGATCTCCACACTGGGACAACCCAAAATGCTCCCATACATTTCCAAACTCCTCCTGGAGGAGAGAGGCACCATTTGGTTGCAAAACATGCATGTGGTGTCATTGTTTATTTGTTGGGCAACTATTAAGATGTTGAGGATACAGAGGTTAAAAATATTTTAATAAACTGCATATAATGGAATTCAAGTAATTTAAAATCCAGTTTTTGATGTTTTAATGTAACTCCTTTAGTATAAAATTACTGAAACTATATCCTAATATTTATTTGAGGCACTTGTCTTTCATAAAACTGCATGAATAACTCAAATAGAGTCCCCTCAATCTCAATAAAATGTAGTCACTAACTGACTTTGGGCAACTGATTTCACCAGCTGTTCCCTCGTTTGCAAGTGGGGGTGGTGATAACATCTCTTTTGAAGGAATTAAGTACAAAATTGCTTCAGTAGATGGAAGTGCTTATCACTGGGCACCACACATGGTACATATTCAGTGTTACCTGTAAACAGAATCTCAGCCTTACTTAGAGTCATGAATTGGAGAAAACTAACTTATCTTAAAGTCTTTAAGTTGGTGAATTTCATGCCAAAATACATTGTATTAGAGATACACCTTCTAGCAGAATGTGGTACTGTACTCCAGTCACTATTATAAATTACCGGCCCTGAAGAAAAGGGAAGTCATGTTTTGTGAGCCATGAGTGTAGATTCAGGGAATCCCCTGGCATGGAAGGAATTATTTGCCCTCTGGGTCGCTGCTGAGTTGCCAAAAGCTGAGAAGGTTTTGGTGATTACTTGCAGTAATGGGTGTTTGACAGGGCCCTCCTGGCCACGTCTGCCAATTCAGCAGCTTTACCAGAAGTTACTAGAAGTTTTTCCAGCATTGTATTGTGTCTGTGTTACATCCCCAACCCCACTCCACGATGTCACAATGTGTTTCCAGTTTTTATGATAGGCATCTATGTGAAAGTAAGGCTTTGCTTTTACATATTGCTTTCTAGGCAAATGTGGAATAAAAAAAATTGTAGTTGTTGATAAAATGTATCTAATAAAGATTAAATTGTCTTTCATATTTAAGTATACTTATGGCAATAAATTATGGTAGACTTAATAGGATTATAGAGCATTTGTAAGTGTTTTTTCCATTGAAAACAAAGCATGGAATATTTAAGATTTATTTAAGAACGGCGGGGCCGGGCGTGGTGGTTCACGCCTGTAATCCCAGTGCTTTGGGGGGCAAAGGCGGGCAGATCCCTTGAGGTCAGGAGTTCAAGAGCAGCCTGGCCAACATGGTGAAACTCCATCTCTACTGAAAATACAAAAAATAGCTGGGCATGGTGGCTCGTGCCTG